TTCACTTCTGGTCAACTCGCTTGCCTAAGTATTTAACTAATTCGGATGTTATTGGTAGTGATTAACTCGATGACTGCCTAGTACAGACCTAGTCTCGACAAAAATGGATATTCAAAATCCAGCACCATTAGGTCCAGGCGAGTGTGACAAGTTGGCGTTAAATTCCACCGACTCTGCTGATGACAAGTGGCCTTACTCGTCGTATTGACAACCCATGAATCGCAAGTGTTTTTGATTTAAAGCTGTCCCCATTATGTAATGTAGCCGCGGAATCGAGTGTGAATACAGTATATATTACTGCAAATGACAGCGTAGTGTTAATGCCAAATGTTACTAATCTTTTCATGGATTACCTGCACATTAACAGAACGATAGTTTGGAGAATTTTTAATTTTACAGTTATAAGCTATATCTCGACTGAATAAGGCAACTGAATTCTTCGTCGCATTTTTTGCAATTTTTGTCGTCCGCTTCTAGACAAAGGTGCACCTGACATGACCTCTCCAAGTTCAAGGCTTTTTGGTAGTTGGACTTTGCATGTAAAACCTCATCTAATTTCTTTTTTCAAAAACGATACTGAAAATAAAGACCAATTGATAATTTAACTAAAGTATTTTCTGATAATTGATAATGGTCATAGGTAGTGACAAGTCTAGTAAAGATATCTCACTTCATTACATTGAAACTGGAACACCTTGGCTCCTTTTTGCTGCATGTCTTTTCTGTCTCAGATTAAAGAAACAAAAGGGGGAAATGTAATATGGAAAGTATTATTTATGGAGAGTTTCATTCTCAAAATTGTCACATAAAGTTAAAAGACTTTTAGTATTTTTATACTGCTGAAACATTTTGATGTGGATTAACTCGAAGTTATCCTGGGATTAGTAAAGTTTTCAGTGCTGGATCTGTTAGTGACAATACTTTTCATTTGTCTTATCACTTTAACCTGGGGATGTACTAACGAAAACTTAACTCCGACCCAGCATAACCACTAACGAATCTACAGACCAATGCAGACATATTTGGTTGACTAAACATAGAGATTTAAACAATCCTGTCATTCTTTACCAATACTCTGGAGATTGGTGCTCGTAGCTAGGTTGGTCCAATTTCTAACTTGTGGCTACACAGGGCTACCTTTATGTTGACACCTAATTTGTAATCAGACGTTTTAGCAGTATGCGCTCAATGCCATTACGCACGTAAATTCGTCATATCGTTTTGCAGCAGAGGTAGGTATGTGGAGGGGGATGTCTTTCTTCGAAGTTTAACTCAATTATATTGGAAATGGAATTGGGAGATGCACAGAATGATCAACAGCAGTGTGTAAAAGATTTGGCGGTAAAATTAGACAAAAATTCTCTTGGCAATTTAACGGGACCGAATGGTGACACCGAGAGTGCAGTCGAAAATAGGGGCCAAACGAGCTCCATTGGCTTCTTAAGCAATGCGTGCTTCAGTTGGAGCATAAGCACTCGCACACAAGTGCAAAGGGTACATGGAGTTCGGAAATGCAACCAGTGAAAAAAGGTCAACGGCGCAAATTGGTCGGGCAGTTCATTTAAATTTGTGAATTCGCCACTTCCGTTAAACAATTTAAGACAAGGTTGCATCTGACAACAAATAAATCGCTTATTCACTGAAGCAACACGATTTTCTGTTTTCTCGAATCCACGAAACCCTTGGACTAAATAGATCATCACGTATTTAATACTGCGCATTTTAATGAAGCAATTGAGCCTTAGAACAAACAGGCACACGTCGAATTGTCACCAGAGAAGACAGGAACCAATCGACTTGGTGCTAAGTAAAAAGAGGCAAAATATGCATAAAGAATCCAACTTGACGGTGCAATTGGGGTAGTGATAGTGCACCAAACTGAAGTCAGAGGTAACTGCTTTAATCGTGAGGACGCTGTCGATTCATGAGGCCGGATCCATTGAAAACGAATAAAACTTGAAGATAGTCAAGTAGGTGATTTGGTACTGCAAGCGAGAGACGAACTTCGACAATGTCTAAGCAGCGATCGGTGAGACTAGTGAAAATTAATGACAACCTCACGAAATCGGCGCATTCGTTTACTATGGTGGAATGAATGAGAATACGGAAATGGCTGTCGCAAGTTACAGCAGCGAAATAACCCGAGCAGACTTCTCAGTGTTGCAAGGCAGCAATTTGTGCAATTCAAGGTAGTGCCGTCACCCCGCTAAGTTCCCTCGAGCATTGCTTGAATTTCCGCCTTCACAGTTCATTTTACGCGTTTTAACTGGAAACCAATGTAGCTGCAGTCGTGTGTGTCAGACTACCACTGGCCTGCGCGATACAATCGTATTCCTATTCATGATTTTCCAGTGTCGAACGCATTATGATAGTCACTTTAATTGCTAATTGCTGCAGAATGTGGGAAATTCTGCAAATTGACGTGATAGTCTTGGTTTCCAAGCAAACTAACTTCGAGGTAACGTACTTACTTTTTTGTTTTTACCATAGGATTAAAGCAATACTAAAAGGCAATTTCGTTCAACATTGGTAGGGCTAGGCTGCGACCTCAATGCAAATGCCATTCTAGGGGCTTTCGATAAAAAAAACGTATAATTACGGTCATGGGTTTTGAGTACTTTCTGACATGCGACTGCCCGAGGACTTTCAATGGTGCTGTCTACCGTATTTGCCTTGTAAAGCGATTGTTGAAATGCTAAGAAAGCTCCCCCAGCCTGGAAATCAGACGAAAGCCCAACTTGACTGCCATGAATCTCCTTCCTTCCTTTCTTCCTTCCTTGACAACTACTTTGAGTGGCCCTGCTGCAGCCTTGGGAAGAGTGAATATTTGTGCGGCAGTGCAACAGATGGCACAAAGGAAAATTAAGCCTTGCAAGCACGTTGCTTTGAACAAATTTTGGCCAATAAAGATCTTTAGGTGACATCGAAATAAGTTTTAATACGTGGTAAACTGTGACTGAACAAAAATATCACTGTGAAGGCTGGCAGTATGATAGAAAACGAGGCGATGCATAAAGTGGCAGATTTCGTGAATTCAGGTTTCTCAAAAAAGTTTATTCAGGAATAACTGTTGAACTTAGAAACCAAAGTGTGATGGGACAAAAATCGGTCAGTTTGGCGATAGAGGAATTTGAATTTGACCAAATGGTAGGCGCACAAGTAAAAATGAGTCATGAGGAGTTTTTGGCAGAAAAATGCACGTAATCCTAAGGTTGTACAACTTTAATTGAAGTTTGCACACGGCGATTTGCGCAGTGACATAAATGAGTAGGCAGGTGTGAGTTAGTCGTAAACTTTGCACTCACGAGATGTATTTTTGTAATTCGTAAGGAAGTACGGCTGAATTTGAAGGCAAATCAGGTCAAATTCTTAAACAAGGCTTCTCTGATGACTTGGCAGCAATTAACACCTTTCAACATGCCAACTGCTTCGACGTTGACATACGCGTTTAGGTAAAAGGACAAAAGACGAAGGCTTACGACTGAATAAAACGCATCCACGATTGCTTGCATTTTAGACCAAAAAGGCGCAAAAGCGAGTTTGCTGAAGAGCGAGTTTCACGCTATTTTAATGCGGCTATGACAAATATTTGTAGAAATAAGTACTTGACAACACACCAAAAGGGTAGTATGCATTATGTTCTTTACTCAACCCTCCACTATCTGGGTAAATGTCCTCGAAGTTACTGCGATTAGGAAGGTCATTGGAGCAGTTTGGAACACGATTTCGAAGGGCTGTTTGTCAAGCAGTTGTTTGATACCTTAAAAAAGCAACTGCTCGATAGTATGTCGTGGCAGGCAATTTAAAGTATGGTGGCACTCACGTCGCAAATTCCCACATTCATCAATTAAGCCTCTGGTGCTTCCTAGTGGGACGCACGTTGACACGGAGGACAACAAAACATGCAGACCACGGCAAGTTCAGTTTCCGAACGCAGAAATAACACACCTCACAGAGGTGGTGGATAACGAATGTTTAGAGGAGTGATCGGTTAAGCGGGTATCCGGATCAAGGGAGTGCCAAAGGAAGACTAGAAAGTGACTGATCAGTTGCATTGCGAAAATTCCTTCCTTTTTGACAAGGCTTGAAAATAATCAGTCAATAATCGACACGTAGTCAGCCTCTTCATAAAAACACGTGGTTTCTCGTGGTTCCTGACCACTCAAAGGGACACCAAGTTGAATTGCAGAATGAATACAAAAATGCGAAAACCGCCAACAGAAAACCTCGGAGCAGTCCTTTTATGGGACAAGGACATGAATTTTAGCCCTGTATTTAAACGCGCATACCTATTTTACTGATACCGAACATGGTTACCAGGTGCACATTGCAGCAAGTGTCTTTCTGGCTCTTGACGAAATCACAGCCACAAAGTTGTCAACTGACAGGTGTGAATTCCCGGTGGAAAGGACGAATGCGACAATCGAAAGATGTGATGGCAAGTCAGACCAGCTAATTTTCACCAAGCACGAGCTGAGCCAATGTCAGAGCGATTCGCTCTGCGTTAGTCTGTGTGCAGTGAGTTGATCAACCAATGAATCGCACACTCGTCTGCAAGGAGCCCTGAGAACACAAATACCATGACTGACAGGTCATTAAAACAAGCCCGAACCGCCGAGTCCCAGCGGTGCCAAAACGCAGCTCACTGCAAGTGACTATGCCTGGTCTTTTTCAACTTGGCCTACTTTGTCGTGACGCAGCAGAAACATGAATGCGATGATGGACTTTAGCACGAGAATGCAGTTGCCTTTAGTGCAACCTCAACGTGAAGATATGCACAGGATAATTTGCCTCTCTTGTTCGATCTCCCCTGCCAATAATAAGCATACGATGGCTGAGGTGATAATGCAGCGCTTTTGCCTGATGAATGGAGGCTTTGAGCGACATCCCATAAACCATGTATTGGCGTACTGACATGAGACGCACGGGATCGAGGGTTCGTAAATCCCCATTTGTGATTTTATTGTCCATGGCAAAATCGAGTGTTGCAAACAAAGCACTCACTGTGAAGCCGCGTCTGAAATTTCGTCCTCAATTTCAATTTGCGGCGACTCCAGGATACTGTGGCAATTGTTGACTTCATCTTCATGAAGCGCACCAGTGGTACGGAGATCCACTTCGTTGGCAAACTCCTCGCCCACCTCCTCCACGTACTCGTCTTCGGGAGTGTGAGGGGCCCCTCTGCAGGGATAGGCGGACGGCGCATCCCCTCCACTCTGGATATTCTCCTCCTCCTCCTCCTCATCTGGAGGGGTTTGTGGAGCCACGTGACATCGCATGGAAACATTCAGAGCACCCACAACAGTGTTGGCGGTGGAGGTCGCGGCAAACGAGGGCGGGCTACAGAGGGAGCTGCGTTTGATCATCTGTCGCCGAGTAAAAATGGTTGGTGAAAACGGCTGACTGCGTAGGGGACTCTGACTGCGAGCGCGCTTCGCCACTGCGATGCAACGATGCTCCTCAGCTCCTACCATTGGGACGCAAATAAGGGAATTGCATAGTGCGTTTTAAGTGACGCATATGGGTCGGATAAGATTTGCGTTTTTTACACATTCCAGGGTCATGCTACGTTAAGCCAAGGTCTGTAGCGCAAAGAAATAAAGCAATTACTACTTGGGGCAAATGCAGAATCTACCTGAAGTAAGTGCTGGTCCCCACTACCCCATTGCATATATGCTAACGAAATCAAATCGAATGACACTCAATGGCACAAAATACTTGAGCCATTCTGGCCTAATGACGAAAAGTAATGGTTATTCGCCCGAAATATTCGAGGTGAAACAAAGCTCCTGTTTATATAATAAACTCGAAACAATCTCGAGAAGTAAATACGGAGTATCGGGTTGATTCCAACATTAGCACGCTCAGTACTTACGCAAGTACGCATCAACAAAGGATTTCTCGTCATCAGTTAAACGCTTTCCTTTCAGGGGAGGAGCAAACACGATGGATGCAGAATGGTGATCACGAGCAGACCGAACGGATGCCCGTACAAGTCGTTGTAGATGGGCTTCAGGCCCATCACTAATACCAGTTGCAGCATCTAAAATGGTCAGAAATAAGAGAATGCCAATATTCTCATTATGAAAACTGACGAAATAGGTAAAGTGAAATCCTACCCGCCGTAGAACGCTCGGCAGATGAAACAGGTACAGCATTCATTTGCTTATGATTTTGGTTAGATTCTTCAGCGTTGCTCACAGCATAAGTGGCAGAAGGTACTGACTTGACGGTCATTGTGACAGTAGGCTTGGGTGAACGCCCGAATAGTTTTGACGACCTCCCGAGCGGTTTGTTACCTTTTGAACTCTGGAAAGATGCGGAGCCATTTCCCATCGAGGGACGGCGTTTTTGAAAGGAGGCTGTGGTTGAATGGACTCTCGTTTTACCGGTACGAGGTCGAACACTTGCATTATCACCAACAGCCGAGGTTTTTTGAGATGAAAAAGTGGTCAATGATGATTTTTGGTGAGGATATACTTTTTGGATATCCGAAGCTGAGGACGATGAGGGCGAACTGCTGGATGAACTCGAACTTGCGCTAGATGAAGAACCCGAACTTGAGGTTGAACTGTGTTGGCGCTTTTGCTGACACAAATGGGACGGCTGTCGCACTTCGGACCGTCTTGAGACGGATAGAGATTTAATATTCGCTGCACTTTCATAGTTCACTGGTGTATGAAGACACTCAATGAGGTCCATTTGATCAATAGTTCGATGTGGGTCCAATGTGCTCTTTCTCGGCCTTCTGCTGGTGGTGTGTACGTATCTAGAAGGTTGAACATTAACAATAACCTACTACAACCACAACAAAAAGATAAACACTGAAAACTCATCACGTAATGTGTCGAATTGTTCTGGAATTAAAAGCAGTCAATTAAGTAGCCACCTTCGTAAATTATAAAACTGGTTACTGACTAAATTTTGGACGTTGCATTTAGTAATAATGGTCATTCCATCTCCCCGATAAAAGTCCATGCATTTACCTGTCAGTTAAGAATATAAGACGATAAGATAGCGCTTACGTTTTCCCTCTTGATTGCAGCTCGCGTTTCAGCTTTGCAATCTCGGCTTGACTTGTTCGTAGTAGCATTAAGAAATTTGCCTCAATGCGGTTCAACGATGTCATTAAACTGCTGTTCTCCGCTTCTAGTCTACTTAGAGATGATACTTGTGTCTCAATCTTCTGACAGGTTTTTAAGATCTGCCGCATCTGTAATTGCAACAATTTTACCGGAAATAAGTTACCGCAAATAGGTTTGTGGGACTAGACTTTCGGTAGAAATACCGTGACAACACTAGACTATATATTAGCGGAGTTCTAGGCATTAAGGGATTGATACCTCCACTAATAACGCACTAAATAACAAATAGAGGTACTAAAAACTAGAAGGCTTATTGACAAACTATATCGGATATCTAAATTCACCCCTTTTATCAATAAATTACCAGTTTCATATTATAAGAATAATTCCGAACAAAAGGTTACTCTCCACGACCTTACATTCGGTATATAAGGTAAATCAATCTTGACGCGCTTTGCATCGTTTTAATTTCCACTTTATTCTACTCCGGATAAAAATGAAAGAATACAATAGACCAGTATTTCAATCCGAAAACTAGAATTCAGAAGATTCCTGCAACATGAATGTCATACTCAACTTTCCTTTAGTCAACCTTGCAGAACAAAACATCTATATAATTTATTGGTTCTTTATAAGCCCAAAGTTTACGAATCATTTAAGAATGATGTAAAAATATAAGCCCATATCCCAGGACACCGCAAAATTAGCCTGAACAAGACCACAAAATAAAAGCGCGATATTATCAATAATAAACAAACTCTGGAAAAAAATCCGAATACCGTTGTACTTTCTGCAGATCCCCTTCCATTTCTTTCGTCACTAATGCGCAGGGACGGTCCAAGACTCCCCTGTTCCACCATTTCTTTATAATGCCAACAAGAATGGCCTTCCCAAATAAACAGCAACTGTGGTAACGAAAATCTGATTGGCCGAATATTACGTCAATTTAACATATCATCAGCAAACTGCAGTTACATCAAAATGGGTATTATGCATTCAGATTTATGACTACGTCTGCAAGATATCATACTTGCAATTTAAGACACAAAAAACATCCTTTTGGCACATCCGCTTTCAAAATAAAAAAAACCTATGCCTGTTGGCCAAACATTATTGAGTTTCTGGCAACTCATTTATAAAAAGCTTTAGGTAGAGCAAAAAAATGAGAAATTAATATTGATCTATATTATAATTGCAAAAACCTTAAATCCAGATTGCGTAGCAAAATCTAAAATGCAATCGAATAAATATTTCACAATATAAAATGCATCTAAATATATATTAGCAGTTGGTTATTACCGGTGTTTAAAGGTTACTTTGCAGCCTGAAGCAAGTCTAGTTCCTGCTTTTGTAAAAGCAAGCATGTACAATCACGTTTACAAAAGTGACCTAAGAATTATAACTATTTTCACACAACACACTTGAATTTTATATCAGAGGGCACCCGAGGCGATGATGAGTCGTCGAAGGAGAGAAGGCGAGGGAAGTGATGAAAGGAATGCTGGCAATGATCAATCATTTTTTCAAACGGAGCTTTCTCGGGTAC